GAGGTATGATGGAGAGGTGTGATAGAGGGGTGTGATGGAGGAATGTGGAGGGTTATGATGGAGGGGAGTCATGGAGGGATGTGATGGAGGGGTGTGATGGAGTCATGAAGGGGTGTGATGGAAGGGTATGATGGAGGGGTGTGATGGAGGGGTGTGATGGAGTCATGGAGGGGTGTGATGGAGGAGTGTGATGGAGGGGTGTGATTGAGGGGTATGATGGAGGGGTATGAGGGTCCCTTCCACAATTGCCAGGATGAAACAGAAAACTGCACACTAGAGCTTCCAGGCGAGGTACCTGGAAAATGGTTGATAGTTATTTTTATTCTAGGCAAAACAAGTCTCCAACTCAACAAAGTCAGTTAGTAAGTAAGGCAGGTGGACATCAGAGCCAAAGCAACGAGACACTGGGCCACCCTGCACATCCCTGAGGGTAGAGAAGCTCCCAGGCCTCAATGCAACACTTAAGGGAGTGAGAAGCTGAATGGACAATGTCCAGCCCAGATGTAAAAGCAGAATTCCATGACCTGCAGCATCCACCACACAAAACCCATTATCATCCACAGTCACCAGCCCAGAAAGCCCACCAATCATCCACAGTCAGTAGGCTGGGAAGCCCGCCCATCATACAAAGTCACTAACCTGGGAAGACCACCCATTATCTACAGTTACCAGCCTGAAAAGCCCACCAATAATCCACAGGCACCAGCCCAGAAAGCCCATCCATCATCCACAGGCGCCAACCCGGAAAGCCAACCCATCTTCTGCAGTCACCAGCCCGGGAAGTCCACACATTATCCACAGTCACCAGCCTAAGAAGTTTGCCCATCATCTACAGTCACCAGCCTGGGAAGCACACTCATCATCTATGGTCGCCAGACTAGGAAGCACACCCATCATCCACAGTCACTAGCTCAAGAAACTCAACCATAATCCACAGTTGCCAGGCCAAAAAGCCCACCTATCATCCACAGTCACCAGCCCAAGGAGCCCATCCATCATCTACAATAACAGCCTATGAAGTGCACCCATCACCTACAGTCTCCAACCTAGAAAGCCCATCCATCATACACAATCACCAGCCCGAAAAGCCCATTCATCATCTACAGTCAACAGCTCGGGAAGCCCACCCATCATCTACAGTCACCAGCTTAGGAAGCCCACCGATCACTCACATTTACCAGCCTGGGAAGCCCACAGATTATCTACAGTCACCAGCCAAGGAAATCCACCCATCACTCACAGTCACCAGCCCACTAAGCCCACCCAATATCTATAGTCACCAGCCTATGAAGCACCCGCATCATCTACAGTCTCCAGCTAAGGAACCCACCCATCATCCACAGTCACCTGACTATGAAGCCCACCTATTATCTGCAGTCACCAACCTGGGAAGCCCACCGTCATCTACAGTCGCCAGCCCATGAAGCCCACCAATCATTCACATGCACCAGTCAAGGAAGACCACCCATGATCTAACGTCTCCAGCCCAGGAATCCCAACCATTGTCTACAGTGACCAGCACCTGAAGTACAACCAGCATCCATAGTCACCAGCCCGGGAAGCCCACCCATCAACTACATTCACCAGCCTGGGAAGCCCACCAATAATCCAGTCACCAGCCCAGGAGGCCCACATATCATCCACAGTCACCAGCCTATGAAGCCCGCCGATCATTCACAGTTACCAGCCCAAGATGCCCACCCATCATCCAGTCTCCAGCCTGGAAAGCCTTCCCATCATCTACAGTAACCAGCCCAGAAAACCTACCCATCATCCACAGTCACCAGCTCTAAAAGCCCACCCATTATCTACAGTCTCCAGCCCAGGATGCCCACCCATCATCCACAGTCAGCAGCCTATGAAACCCACTCATCATCTGCAGTCACCAACTCAGGAAGCCCAACAATCTTCTAGTCACTATCTCAGGAAGCCATCATCTGAAATCATTAGCTGAGAAAGCTCATCATCATCCAGTCACTAGGCCGGTAAGCCTACCTATCATCCATAGTTGCCAGCCCAAAAAGCTCACCTATCTTCCACAGTCACCAACACAGAAAACCCGACCATCATCCACAGTCACCAGCCCGAGAGGCCAACCCCTTATCTACAGTAAAAAGCCCAGGAAGCCCACTCATCATGTATAGTAAAGAGTTTGGAAATCCCACCGATCACCTACATTAACCTGCCTCAGAAGCCCACTCATCATTGAAAGTTAGTAGCTCCAGAAGCCCACACATCCTCCACAGTTGCCAGCCCAGGAATCCCACCCATCATCCACAATCACTAGCTTGAAAAGCTCAACCAGCATCTACAGTCACCAGTCAGGGAAGCCTACCAATAATTCACAGTCCATGGTCACCAGCATGGGAAGCCACTCATCATCTACAGTCATCAGCCCGGGTAGCCCACTCATTATCTAGAGCCAACAGTCCTAAAAGCCCACCCATCATCTACAGTCACTAGCTTGGGAAGCTCAACGATCATCTACAGTCATCAGCTCAGGAAACCCACCCAACATCTTCAGTAACTAGCCCAAAAAGCCCACCCATCATTGATGTCACCAGCTCAGAAATCCCACCCACCATCTACAGTAACCAGCCCAAAACACACACCCATCATCTACAGTCCAGGAAGCCTACCCATCGTCCACAGTCACCAGAATAAAAAGCTCACTCATCATTTACAATCACCAGCCCAGGAAGCCCACCCACCATCTACAGTTTCCACAGGAAGCCCACTGACCATCGACAGATCTCAGGCAAAGGTAATCTGGTGACACCGTTTAGCGGCAGGGTGGTTCCTGAGGCAACTAAAGCACCCGGAGCTGCAGTCTAGACCCAAAGGGGCCCTGAGAGCCCGTCGTTGGAAACAGCCGGGATTCCTGTGGAAGGGGGCGGGGCTCCTGCTCCCCTGAATGCAGATTTGACTCGATTTTAATTAAAGCAAAGAGACAGCATGAGCCCAGCCAGTATTTGGGCTGCAGTTGTGGCCATTTCACCCAATCCACACAACACCCTTTCAGGTCGGGCCCCACCCCTCCTCCTCTCGTCCCCTTCACCTGGCCTCCTGTAGTTTTGTGTTCCTGGAGTGACCCCATGCGCTCAGGACAGCCTGGGCTCCTGGGATGGGCAGACGTCCCCATCATCCAGGGCGTCTGGACCCTGAGCTGCCCCTCTGTTACCATTGCCCACCCCTGGTTCTCTGCAGCCCTGAGGCTGTTTCACAGACTTGGAAACGGAGGCCCAGAGCTCACACAGGCAGTGAGTGGCTGTGGTGGAAATCAAGAGCGCGTTCTTGTCTGACCCAGCTCATCTCACCTCTGCTTGGTCAGGTCACCCGGAGGTGCTGAGGCTTCCCAGGGTCACAGCTGGACACGACACAGGGCAGCTGGTGAGACACGCACACCTTCCCCACTAAGGAACATCTCTCTAGCAAACCATTTCTCATGAGTGCTTCGGACCTTAAATCACCTTTCAGGAACGTGGCCACAGAGCGCCAGCATGGTGGGCTTGTATGTTACACTGAGCACAGGGCGAGGAGCATCCTTCTGCATTTTACTTGGAGGTGACCAGGAAGGGCCTTGGCCACCTCAGCCCTGCCAACCTGCAGTCACGGTGGACGGAATCATCCCACAGCCCCTTCCCTCCCTGGGCTGCTCTGTGTGTCCCAGGACAGGGCAGCTCCAGATGCTCCTGGAGTGAGGCTCTGGGTGCAAGTCTGTTTTTCTGTAAGGCCAGACAGAAGGCGTGAGCATGCCCGACAAACAAGGCTGGACGCTGCCCTGTTGAAAAGGGGAAAAGAGATCATCTGGAAGCATTTTATAAGGAAAAGAATGTAAATTATACCTATTATATGTATATTCAGAAAATCTTTGCAGTTTGGAAAATGTGTCCCGGCTCTGCCATTTCTTCCCATTTCCTGTAATTTCCTTCCCCATTGTCAAGATTCTGAAAGCCAGTCTCTCCCCTTCTCACAGATGGGTCCTTTTTAGTTGGCAGCTGCCGGCTTCTAACCGGGCTCTGGATGGAACAGACTCACTTTGGGCTGAGAGTGGCGTAGGGAAGATCCCGCAGCTCTTAGATGCAGGGGAGAACTTTGTGTCATTGAGATCAGGTGGGGCAGGGCCGCCTGGCCTCAGGGCTGCAGAGAACCAGGGGTGGGCAACGGTAACAGAGGGGCAGCATGGGGTCCAGACGCCCTGGATGATGGGGGCGTCTGCCCATCCCAGGGAGCCCAGGCTGTCCTGAGCGCATGGGGTCACTCCAGGAACACAAAACTACAGGAGGCCAGGCAAAGGGGGCAAGAGGAGGAGGGGTGGGGTCCTATCTCAGAGAAATCCAGGCTTTAGAGAAAGTGGCAGTGCACCCCAGAGACGGCCACACATACATACACAGACACACACATATATACAGACACAGAGATACTCACACATACACACACACACAGAACACACACATACACAGACACACACAAATATACAGATGCACAGAGACACACAGATACACAAACATACACACACACACAGAACACACACATACTCACTCAGACACACACTAATATACAGATACACACAGACACAGAGATACACACACATACACACACGTACAGAACACACACATACAGACATACACAGACATGCAGATACACACACATTGACACACATACAAACATACACAGAGACACCCACACACACAGATGCACACACAGATACAGCCAGACACACACAGACACGCACACACAGCTACACAGACACAGACACAGCCAGACATACACAGACACACACACACACAGATACAGATACACACACACAGATGCACACACACACAGACACAGACACAGCCAGACACACACAGAGACACAGAGACGCACCACACTGAAACCTGCAGGAGGAGCCCAAATGCCCGTCACAGGCTGAACTCAGTTCCCTGACACTTCAAGATCCAGCAAAGACCACGTCCTCATCTGCATATGCGGCTAACAAAATACCAACGCTGCACAAGTGACAAAGAGCAAACAATTACTTCCTCCCCATTCCAGAGGCTGAGAAGTCCAGGGTCCAGGCACCAGCAGGTTTGGTGTCTGCGAGGGCCGCTCTCTGCTCCCAGGATGGTGCCTTGTGCTGTGACCTCTGGGGTGGAAGGTTAGGGGCAGGCGTGGGACAGGTGCTGTGTGAGCCTCCTTCACGAGAGCCTCGATCCCCTCAGGAGGAGCAGTCCTCATGGCCTCACTAGCTCTTGGTGGCCCCACCTCTTTGCACCATCCCCTTGGCCAAGAGGTCTCAACCCCTGGGGTCAGACTCAGACTTGATGCCCAAGATCTGACCAGGAGCCACGGGGTGCTGGCACTGTCCCAGGCTCTGGTGTTACAGGGCAGACATGAAACACTGTGGACATAACACTGTCTCCAGTGTGCTCACACCCAGAGAGACACACACACCTGTCACAGACCCCGGCCAGAGCAAGGCTCTGAGCACATCCAGGCAGGAAATTGTCCTGGGAGTAGGGTCTCAGGTTAGGCCAGGGAGGGGCTGACACTGAGCACTGAGGAAGGGAAGGGTCCAGGTGGCCAGGGTGAGGTGGGAAATTAAAGAAATAAAGAGAAATAAAACTAAAAAGAGAAAGAAATAGGCTTTCCTGTATTAGACTGACTCATCCCAAAGGCAGTAGCAGGCAAGGCCCAAACCCAGGAAAAGTCTTGAAAAACACTGTTGAAGAAGCTAGGACAAAAAGGAATGTGCTCTGAAGACTCTCCCAGCACTCCCTCAACGTAGGGAGAAGAAAACCAAACGTTCCTGTCTCTTATGGTGTGAGTTTATAGATTCCCGTTCTCTGTAACTAGTAACTTCAAGCATTCTGTTTTATCTAAGCAGTGGGGGAAAGATCATAAACTCTCTGGGCAGGCCTGAGATACAGCGACCTGGACACCACAGTAAAGGTCATGGAATAAGCCATGCTAGGTACGAGAGAAAAACCTAGATAACAGACATCTGGGTTGCATAGCAACGGTCATGTGTAATCCTGAGTTATGAACCTGTCACAGTTTGATTAATGGTTCTGCCTCTGTATCCTTGCTTTCACACCACTGTAACTGTAAGCCTGCTTCAAGCTAGCCCACCCCCTTTTTGAAGTGTGTATAAAAGTCAAGTGCTGTCTTTGTTCTAGGCCCAGTTTTCCGGATGTTAAAGTCCGCTGGGTCTGAGTGCACTCAATAAAGATCCTCCTGCTTTACCCCAAGGTCTCTCTTGTCCTCCTGATTCCCACAACACAGCCCCTTGGGGAAGAGGGCAGCCATGGCGGGTCCCAGTGAGATGTGAGCCCTGCAGAGGTTTCTGCAGAGGAGCAGCCCCAGCCCTGGGCTGCAGGAATGGGAGGCACAGGGCCGGTCATGGTGGGGCAGCAGCCCAGCAGCCCCGGACTCCAGGTGGGGAGAGGCGGCCTGGGCTCTCCAGCTGGGCCTGCTCCTGGTCCACAGGGAAAGGGTCTCTGCCTCTGCTGCCGGGGCCTGAAGTATGGGGTCTCCACCCTCCTTGGACCTGCTCGGGAGCCTGAGGGACCCTCTGCATCAAGGAGGGTGCCACAGATGGACCATGCGTGCTCTGGCACATGGCCAGCACCTGCCATGTTGCCAGGAAACCCCACCAGTGGGTTTTCTCCACTGAGGTCCCACAGCCCCGGGCAGCAACAGGCCAGGGAGGCCCTCGCCAAGGAGGACTGGACACAGGACGCACACACACCCCGTCATCTTTGCTCTCAGGAAGCCCACCCCCGCAGGAGCCTTGAACCCGAGGCCTCCCCAGGCTCCCCCGCACTCCAGGCCTGGCCTTCAGTACCAGCTGAGACTTCCTCTTGGTCCCTCCACCCCTGTGCTAACCCAATCCTGTCTCCCTAGGACAGACCCTGACGCAGAGGCCAAGGAAAACCTGACTTGGCAAAATCACTTTCCCACCCATGAACACGATCTCGTACCTTCGTCCCCGGCTCCTGCAGCGGCAGCCTCATCCACAGATCCCACGAAAGCCCCCAGCTCCCGAGAACAGCTCTCCGCCATTCACAAGTCCACACTCCTCCACTCTATTCCCAGGCGTGGGTAGGGGTGGAGTTGGTGCATTATCCTCACAGAACAAAGACGGACATCCAGCATTGGGACCACGTGTGATGACCAGTTACCCATGTCAGCTCCCACACCTGTGTCCCCGCTCTCCATGCTGAGGGCTGGCCAAGGACACAGCCAGTTCAGGAAGGGGTGGTGGCCTGTGTGCAGGTCTCCTCCGATCTCAGTCCAGCTGCCTCTGATGGAGCTCACCTCCTCCTGCTCGTCCAGCGTCCATCCTGCTCCCATCCCCACTCACGCGGTGGGAGGACGCAGGGACACAGTGACTGGCGGCTTCCATCCCATGAAGGGCAGACTCCAGACTTCCATCCCGTGAAGGGCAGGGATGGGAGGTGGCACTTCTCTCTCCAGGTCTGAGCACCATCTTGGGAGGCAGCAGAGGGCCAAGGTGGGACAGACTGACACCCACTGCTGAGGAGGACCAGCCAGGACCCAGTCCCTGCTCCGGCCACCACGTGGACCTTCAGTGCACCAGATGGCATGCAGCTCTGAGCCGCGCAACACCAGCGGCCCCTGCCCTTCTTCGGGCTGTTCCCTCTGATGGTTTATTTCTCCTGGTTTGTCTCATGCCCCTTTGGCAGTGGGGCCTCCCACCCTTGCTTAAAATCACCCCTCCCTCCTCACTCTCTGCCCCTCCCTGACCTTCATGGCTCCCTGAAATCTCAACTAGCCTACTTCTGTCTTCCTTCCAGAATGACGGCCTCCTTTGAGGGAA